AAACAAACAAACAAACAAACAAACAAACAAACAAACAAACAAACAAACAAACAAACAAACAAAGTAAGGAAGAGACATAAATAAACAAACAAACGAAGAGAAAATACGAACAGAGCAGCAAACTAAGACAAAGACAGACAGAGACAGAGAGAGACAGACATTTAAAGAGAAGAAACAGTAATAAAAACAGACACAGACACAGAGACAGAGACAGAGACAGAGACAAAGAGATAGATAGATTGATAGATTGATAGATTGATAGATAGAGACAGAGACATAGACAGAAAAAGAGAGACGTATATATATATATATACATACATATATATACATATATATATATCTATAGAGACAGACAGGCATATATATATATATATATATATACGTATATATATATATATATATAGAGAGAGAGAGAGAGAGAGAGACAGATGTCTGTGTCTAGATAGAAAGAGACAGAAACAAAGACGGAGACAGAGACAGAGAGACAAAGACAGAGACAGATAAAAGAGTAAAAGAGAGAAGAAGCACAGGGATAGGTGCGGAGCAGCAAATTCAAAATAAAAGAGAGGAGACACATTTATTAAGGTGTCTCTTCTCTGCAGCCATACGCCTAACCACTGCAGCAGGCAGAAGCAGCAAATAAACATAAAACTTCAGCAAGAAAAAACGAGGAGACCCTCGGAACAGCTTCTTCAACTGATGCTTTTGCTGCTGCTGCTGCTGCTGTTGCTGCTGCTGCTGCTGTGGCTGCTGCTGGTTGTCGTGTTGCTCGCTGTAGTGCTGCCGCTGCTGGTGCTGCTAATGCTGCTCTTAGACAGGAACCCTTTGATACTGGTTGCATGCCGAGGTACAGCAGGGAGATCTGCTGCAGCAGCTGCAGCAGCAGCTGCTGCTGCACCGATGTCGGGCTTGCTGCTGCTGCTGCCTTTTGTTTGCTGCTGCAGAGAAGGGGTGCACCGCATTCTGCTGTTGCTGCTGCTGCTATTTGCTGCTGTGCTGGCGGCGGAGAGAGCGGGGCTGCTGAGGCCCTGAAGAGAAAGAGAAGCAAAGTCGTTAGTGAAGCAGCCTGACGGTGCTGCTGCTGCTGTTGCTGCTGCTGCTGGTGCTGGTGCTGCTGCTGCTGCTGCTGCTGCACGTCTCGTCCCCACTGGAAGCCCCGGCACCTCACCGAGACTGGGAGGAATTAGGGACGGCCCCATGCGAAGCATTTGCTGCTGTTGCTGCTGCTGTTGCTGTTGCTGCTGCAGCAGCAGCGGCAGCTGGCGCTTGCCTCCATCCGTGCTGCCGTATGGTGCTGCTGTTGCTGCTGCTGGTTGTCGTGTTGCTCGCTGTAGTGCTGCCGCTGCTGGTGCTGCTAATGCTGCTCTTAGACAGGAACCCTTTGATACTGGTTGCATGCCGAGGTACAGCAGGGAGATCTGCTGCAGCAGCTGCAGCAGCAGCTGCTGCTGCACCGATGTCGGGCTTGCTGCTGCTGCTGCCTTTTGTTTGCTGCTGCAGAGAAGGGGTGCACCGCATTCTGCTGTTGCTGCTGCTGCTATTTGCTGCTGTGCTGGCGGCGGAGAGAGCGGGGCTGCTGAGGCCCTGAAGAGAAAGAGAAGCAAAGTCGTTAGTGAAGCAGCCTGACGGTGCTGCTGCTGCTGTTGCTGCTGCTGCTGGTGCTGGTGCTGCTGCTGCTGCTGCTGCTGCACGTCTCGTCCCCACTGGAAGCCCCGGCACCTCACCGAGACTGGGAGGAATTAGGGACGGCCCCATGCGAAGCATTTGCTGCTGTTGCTGCTGCTGTTGCTGTTGCTGCTGCAGCAGCAGCGGCAGCTGGCGCTTGCCTCCATCCGTGCTGCCGTATGGTGTTCGTGCTGCAGAGGCGTCTGTGCTCCTCTCATCCTCGGAAGAGGTGCAGCAGCAAGGACACGGGGGATGCTTGTGCTTCTGCTGCTGCTGCTGCTGTAGCTGCTGCTGCTGTTGCTGCAGTTGCTGCTGCTGTTGCAAAGGCTGCTGGGAAACGCTGAAGGAAGCACGCCGGGGATGCTGCAGCTGCTGCAGCAGCAGATGCTGCTGCTGCTGCTGCTGCTGTTCTTCTGCTGCCTCCGGCTGGCCTTCGTTTCTTTGCTGCTGCTGCTGCTGTTGCTGCTGCTGCTGCTGCCCGGGGCGCGTCTCTGTCCACACGCCTGCACCAGCAGGTGCTCCACCCCGTTGCTGCTGCTGCAGCAGCTGCTGCTGCTGCTGCTGCCTTTTAAATGCATGCATTCTCTGCTGCTGTAGTGCTTGCGCCTTTTGCTGCAGGAATCTGGCTGACGCTAGCTGGTGTTGCTGCTCTTGCTGCTGCTGCTGTTCCTGCTGCAGTCGCTTAGTTGCAGCATCGGTTTGCTGCTGTGCTGTTCTTCCTGCTGTAGCTGCAGCATGATGATGATGATGATGATGATGATGATGATGATGATGGTGCTGCTGCTGCTGCGGCTGCTGCGGTGGCAGCAAGGTGTGTGCATACACCGCAGAGACAGGGCCTCGAGTTATAAAAGGGTGTTTCAACGCTTCAGAGACAGACAGCCGCTTAACTGGATCCGGTCTTAGGAGCTGCAGCACGAAGTCTAGAGCAGCAGGAGACAGCTTCGTGCCGTTCTTCTGCTGCAGCAATTCCCGCAGTTGCTGCTGCTGCTCCGAAGCTAGCAGCACCCACCCTTCATCAGAAGGCTGCGCTCTTTTAAATAGCTGCTGCTTCGTCAGGCAGTAATACAGCATCCAGCCCAAACAAAAGCTATCCACTTTAAACGGGTCGTACCTGAGCAGCAGCAGCAGCAGCAGCAGCAGCAGGGAGAGCAGTTGGGGCATTATCAACCACAGCCGCAGCAGAAGCTAAAGCAGCAGCAAAAGGAATAGCAACCGCAGCAACAATAACAGCAGCAGCAGCAGCAGCAGCAATGGAAATCAGCTGCTAGCCGTCAACCAACAGCTAGCAGCAACCGGAGCAGCAGCCTGCAGTCTACGTGCAAGCACACGGCCACCCAGCAGCAGCAGCAAGAGCAGCAGCAAGAGCAGCAGCAAGAGCA